CTTACTATTGTCATTTTCCTCTACTTCTTTTGTATGTTTGTCACACTCTTGTGACCCGCTATTTCCGGGGTGCCTTACTTGATAGTCGAAGCAGACGTTGTGCTGTTGAGGCTAGAGAGGTGAACAGAGTAAGTCTGATTCCCTGTAAGGACTTCTCTGTTGACACCCACCCCTTGGCGCTCACATGACCTTATGCAGTTGCGAGCGCCGTAAAACCCTCTACTATTTTTCTAAAAAATGTTTACAAATGATTTAAAAATTATTTTTTTAAAATTTTAGTTTTTTCCCTTTTTGTTTTGGCGTGTCTGAGAAATATTTCAGAGACAGGATGGGGGTAGACGTCTTCCTTCTGTCCCCACTGAGTCTTTGAGCCGGGAAACATGAGGGTAGACGTCTTCCTTCTGTCCCCACTGAGTCATTGAGCCGGGAAACATGAGGGTAGACGTCTTCCTTCTGTCCCCACTGAGTCTTTGAGCCGGGAAACATGAGGGTAGACGTCTTCCTTCTGTCCCCACTGAGTCATTGAGCCGGGAAACATGAGGGTAGACGTCTTCCTTCTGTCCCCACTGAGTCATTGAGCCGGGAAACATGAGGGTAGACATCTTCCTTCTGTCCCCACTGAGTCATTGAGCCGGGAAACATGAGGGTAGACGTCTTCCTTCTGTCCCCACTGAGTCATTGAGCCGGGAAACATGAGGGTAGACGTCTTCCTTCTGTCCCCACTGAATCATTGAGCCGGGAAACATGAGGGTAGACGGGTAGACGTCTTCCTTCTGTCCCCACTGAGTCATTGAGCCGGGAAACATGAGGGTAGACGGGTAGACGTCTTCCTTCTGTCCCCACTGAGTCATTGAGCAGGGAAACATGAGGGTAGACGGGTAGACGTCGTTCTTCTGTCCCCACTGAGTCATTGAGCCGGGAAACATGAGGGTAGACGGGTAGACGTCTTCCTTCTGTCCCCACTGAGTCATTGAGCCGGGAAACATGAGGGTAGACGTCGTTCTTCTGTCCCCACTGAGTCATTGAGCCGGGAAATCATTGAGCCGGGAAACATGAGGGTAGACGGGTAGACGTCTTCCTTCTGTCCCCACTGAGTCATTGAGCCGGGAAACATGAGGGTAGACGGGTAGACGTCTTCCTTCTGTCCCCACTGACCGAGTCACTGAGCTGGGAAATATTCATCATCATCAATGCCTTTCACCCCTGGCAGGGTATAGGTTGGCGGGTGCTCTGGTGTGGTTTGCTTCTTCTTTCCTATGTAACATCTGTCGTCCTTATCTCCCCTTCTTCTTTTTTATGTTTGTTACTCTCTTGTAACAGCGCTCATATGACCTTATGCAGATGTGAGCGCCGTAAAACCTCTAGTAAAACTAAACTAAAGGGTATAGGCCACATACAAGCTCCTTCCATTTATCTCTGTCCTGAGCCATCCTTTCACCCCTGGCAGGGTATAGGCCACATACAAGCTCCTTCCAGTTATCTCTGTCCTGAGCCATCCTTTCACCCCTGGCAGGGTATAGGCCACATACAAGCTCCTTCCAGTTATCTCTGTCCTGAGCCATCCTTCCAAGCTCGTTCCAAGTGAGCTTCATTTCTCTCATGTCCCTTTCCACACATCTCCTCCATGTTTCCCGTGGCCTACCCCTGCCTCGTGCTCCCTGTGGGTTCCACTGCAGCGACTATCTTGTCATGTGAAACATTGGTCTTGACCTTTCTCCCTCACAGGTGCACCATGTCGCTCCAAGGGAAGGAACTCTGCACCAAGGTACACGGCACCAAGAACGGAGCCAAGCGAGTGGCCTCTGAGGGCGTCGTCAAGGAAATGAGGAAAAAGAACGATTACATTTACGTAAGTTGAGCCTCACGGCTTGTGCCCAATGGATCAGCCGCCAACGTCCACTTTGACAGTTCGCGACCTCAGTGCTTGCTTGTTCTCCCTCCATTAAAAATTTTTTTTTTAGTTTGTTTTAGTAGAGGTTTTACGGCACTCACAACTGCATAAGGTCATATGAGCGCCAAAGGGTGGATGTCAACAGAGAAGTCCTTTCAGGGAATCAGGCTTATTCTGCT